GTGAGCGCGGAGCTTATCTAGAAAGTCATTCAGTTCATTCACAAATTCTAATCCCATTCCCGGTGGCCGATAAATAGCGCCTAAAATGTATTCACCATGGCCAAACTTATCTTGCACCGTTTATTCTCTATGTCCGGAGCGCCTTCTAATTCCGCACAATCTAAACAATCCTTGATAACTATGGCGACGCCGCCCCCTTTACTTTCTTGATCCCTTCTATGAAGTTTATATCCGGGTGGGATGATTTCACAATTAAAAACTGACGAGTTCAGCCACGTTTCAGTGACAATGACAGCATACGGATTATGTTCAATCAAGATATGTTCAAGTTGCGTAATGTTGCGGCTCGTATGGGGCACGCGGGGGCAACTGTACTCTCTCATCGTTTTCTTCATCCCAGGGGTACATTACGTCCCCGATCTTTAATTTGTCATGCATTAATGTTGCCCTCTCTCCCTTATCCTTAGCACTGTCCCACTTTTTCCGTACGTTCCTGGCGAGTAGGGAAAGGTCCTCGTTAATAAAAATGGTTGATCCTTTTAAGTTCCGGGCATTTCTATGTACTTTTTTTGTTCACGAAGTTACTAAATTTGAGGGTAACGGGACGCAATCGGTTAGGAGACCATTTACCAAGCCTATGAATTCTTTCACCACTTCTAACATGAACTGCTAACCTATCGGAGAACACTTCATTGGCTACACTCTTAATTAAATTGTCTTCAGTCTCTTGTCCATCCCCCGGATTACATAAACTATAAAGTTATTCTGTTTTCCATATCATCTTTTTTTTATTCAGTTTGTGTCTTAGAAAGCGGTCGAGGCTTCCCTGCACGCGTCCTATGCTAGACCGGAGCTGTATCTCGCCAACTGCGAGCTCTGATCTAAAAACTATCCTGCTACGTACGGACCTGTCGACAGCTGCGACGGCCCCGAAGAGGACGCCGGCGGTGGACGGCATTCTTTACGTTTATGCGCACTCCGTCGAGGATGGCATGCTTTTGATTACACGAAATTTCCTTCGTTTTCAGCGTCGAGGTGCCGGCGGTGCCGGGACTCTCCATCGTTACGTAGCAATGATTCGCCGAATCGGTGCTTGAGCGAAAAGAATTTCGCGCAAGAGCGACCTCACCGACCAGACGCCGACATTGGATCACGAAGCAAACATAGAAGCGCGCACGGCATCGAGTTCGCGCTCAAGCTCGTCTGTCGTCGGTATAGAGCCCAGATTTAAGAAATGGAGCAACTGCTCGATCGGGGTGACGTGGTTTGTGGGCTGCATTTCCTAAAACCAGCTGTAGCACGCAAGGGGTCAAAACTCAAAAGCATTCACTTTCTGCAAACGTGTCCGCCTCTCTACCTAGTTTCCTTGCCATACTGGGCACGTGACAATCAAATGGTGGCGTACTTACTGCTCCCACTCTTAAACCTAGGCTCTTCTGTCATCTCCGCCGGAACGTTGTCGCTAGCGATCCGAACGCAGCCCCTATCGGCATGCCACGACGGCTTTTCCGCGTGCGATACGGTAAAGCCGCTTCCCAGATAAGGAGCTGGAAGCAGACGACGTTGCAGAGGCTACCGCCGGCGGCCTTTCCAGCATCTTCTGCAGCCCGTTCCGGGTGGCTTCTTGGCCGCGGCAGCAAAGTGCAGCGGTCCTAGACTTAAAAAACTGTTCGAATTTTATTCTTTCTTTTTTTTATTATCACAAAATTTCTTTTCGCTAAAACCAGACACAAAAAAATGGGCCCCGCTCGAAACGTCGTAATAAACTTCGAATTAGTAACTCTGACAGTACGCATCTTTGACTTATTAACTTTCCCGGTCCATTGTTTTTATTTGTACCTTACTTCACCTATATATATATATATATATATATATATATATATATATATATATATATATATATATATATATATAGGGTGGTTCAAGTCACCAGACTCGATCTAAAATGGACGTAAAAATCGACGCCTGCGTGTAGCAATCTAAACTTTTCGTGAAAAGTGTATTTCACAGGTCGGTTTTTTCTTGTAAAATTACAAAGCGCAGTTCTCGTTCTGTAAAAAATAAGGCCAAGAAACGTGCCAGGATCTACGCCGGGCAGCGACGCAGAGGACTGTTTTCCCCTTAGCACGTGGCTGTGCCGTGTCGAAGAAAGATACGCAAAATCCCGATGCTTACTCCGAGATTCCCGCTTCACCGCAGTGCACCAGTGCGCGGCGAGAAGCGCACTCAACGAAGCTAGCTCACCCGCGAACCCACCAGAACAGACCACGAACACGAGAAATATCGCGCGACGTCCGAGCACTGTCAGTGAATAGGACTTCTTCCAAAACCGACGCGCCCCATTGCGGCGAAATACCACGCAGTGCACTCTGGGAACTAGTTGGCCACTCAGTTTCGGTTTCGACTGTGCAGATTCATCTCGTGCTATCACGCCGCGACCGAACGCGCTGCTTGCGTTTTCAATTATCTGACTTTTTTACGAATGTACAATACACTCATTCTCGAGCGATACAAAAACGAAGACCGGGGCACTTTCCTTGGTTCCCGAAACACCGGATATTGTGCGTGCGAATGCAAACGTAGTAAGCCGTGGCTTAGTCACCTCACCCCACGAGTGCATCTTTGAGCTCGTGTCAGTAATCCCGTCTAGTAGCACTGAACTACAAGTGAAATTCGGTCCCCTGGAGCATTACACGTATTTTGTTTGCCAAACGTCCGCTTCTTGTTACTTCATTGGGCGAAAAGCAAGCCGCATCCTCGCAGGAGTATCAAAGTTGAGCCCAGCGTTGACGCATGAACTTTTAAGGAAACGCTATAAATTCGACCTCACTATAGTTACCATAATGTCTTCCTCGTGTCATCATATATCTCCCACTGAAATTTTATGCTGATAAAAGATTAAGTTTTCGCAAACGCTGAGATCGGCTAGCTACGACGGAGGTCCTAACAAGCGTCCCCTACTCCTCGCTAAGCCTTCTTGGACCAGCTTTTACTGACGCCCAAGAGCTGTGCCTGAACGTTGTGTCTGAAGTTATCTCGGCATACGCAGGCAGGAAGAAAGCAATCACATAACAAATATTATGGCCATTAGCAAACGTCAAATGCACTTTGAATAATTTCGTTCGTTTGGCGCACCGCATAGGGGTTCATGCCCGTCCGGCGTACTTCTGGCGAACGGTGCGACATTCTTCCCACAAGTGCTCGACTTTTGCTTTCTTAAAACGGTTTGTATGTGCGAATGTGCCTATATGACTGGGCAGGATAACTTTACGCGCATACGCGATGTTGAATATTAGTGAAATGCAAGTGGGGGCCTTTCGCTTCGTGCAGTGCTGCGGGTCAGTACAGATAAGAGATAAGAGGTGTGTTATAATTGAGCTTTTCAATGGCGCTTCCGAGTTTTACCTCGCGTACACAGGCGTATTAAGAATACAGTAATTGCAAAAATTAACATTTCGTCTATGGACGCACGAAACAAACAAACTTCCTGATCAACAACACTAATGTAAAGGCGCGAGCTCGATGTGTGCATACTTTTTGGTTGCTACAGCTTGTTGATTCGTACATAAGCAAGATCCCCGAGCTCCGCAGCGTCGACATTCCCAGCACTGGCTCGTCCACACACCTCGATTGGAACGCTAACAGAAAGGCTCAAGTACAAAAATACAACAAGCATGTATTAAGACAAGCTATACGTCTCGGGCTTGTGCTAAAGCTTCGAGGTCTGGCCATTTAGGTTAGTTTAGAGACCACAAATGGCGCTCTCGGGACCAGAAAACATGAGATAACGGCCGTTAATAGTCCACGTTGTGTGTAATCTCTTGTCGACGTGTCGATCGAAACCGAAACCATGCCACTCTCCTCCCTGGCCAACTAGTTCCCAGAGCGCAACGCGCGCCGTGTTGCATGCAGGGCTTTATGGAAGTAGTATGAAGTCGGGTAATGCGCTACCAAAGGCGATAATCAAAAGTTCGAAAAAAAAAATCGCGTTTTGGCACAATGGTGGCGTAAATTCATCACATTTTGGCGAAACATAGCAGGATTAAGCCCTTTAGCGCGGTTTGAAGCAGCGATCACATCACTAGATTGTCCAAGAAATGCCCTCCGAAATTCTCCGGTCGCCGCAGCGAAGGGAACGACATCGTGCAGGTCCCGTCGCCTCCGCCGCTTTTCGTCCGTCTCGTGCTCCCGCAGTTGCCATTCCCGTTCCAAGGACGGAGCGAACAGCAGACGCGCCGGGGAACCTTCCAGAACCGCGAAACGGAGAAGGCGGGAGATTGAGAAAGGGGGATCTATGCGCGCCTTGCCAGCACCCCCTTGCCAATGGTATCAAACATTATTAATTTTCCTAAATAGGCCCTTTTTTCAAATACCAATAGGACACCAATCTTTTTCTCTGTGGAATTCATACTTTTCTTGCAGGAGCGATCTAGCAAGCTTCCCGTGAAGCATCCGTACAAGCTGACCGAAGAAATGCAGTAGCCGAGTTTGAAACAATGTATGTCTTTCTTTGCTTTTTTTTTCTTTGTTTATCACTTCAGATTTTTTTTTTTTTTTTGTGTGTGTGCCCCAGTTTTGGGGCGTGGTACATCATGTAAGTATGGTAAACAAATCTAGATGGCGATAAAATTATCCGGTTTTACAGGGACACCATTGATCGATTTAAACATTGTAAGCACCACTCACTCGTCTGTACACTATCTCGACACATCATTAGATGTGGCACCGCAGGCTTCCGTGGTGTTGGCTACTTGCCTTTCTGCGGTGCCGCGGCCCTCTTGAACCAAAATAAAAAATAGAACTACTACTACCATCATCCAGAGACTTGTAGGAATGTGTTTGGTGTGTTTACAAGGAGCACAAGTTGTCCAGTTCGTGGCTCGGAGGTTTTCAGACCACATCAAAGCTTCAAAGTTCATGAATGGAGCTGCCATGCCTGGTTCCCGCATGGTTCCGAATACATTTCTATTCGACAAGAATGGCACACTGGAACATTGGAGGAAGGAGCACTTTTTAGGGAAAGCTTTACAACAGCAGTTTATATAAATACTGTTTTCACGACATCCGAGTCCAATACAAACAGTATATACACACGGCTCATTCCTTCCATCAAGGGCCTGTAATTCCCTGTTAAAGCACAGAACAGTGGGCCCTGCCCAGCACTGCTTGGCAACGCATAAGACAATAGCACAAAAAAAAAAGTGTTTCACTTTCTTCAATTTCTTTGGGCTTTTAGCTTAACAGGTTGAAAAGAACTGCATAGCAAAGAGTGGAAAATCGCTCTCCCGTTATTCTATTGTGAACATGTTAGCTCTCTGCTAAACCATTTCTAAAATATATAAAAAAAAAAAAAACTAATTCAAAACTACAAGAATGGACAAAAACAATCCTAAATGACCTGAAGTTCTTTAACAATGTCTACGGCAAACTAGCTTTCTTTCACCTGAGGAACATGGCTGCTTGCACATCACGAGGGTAACAAGGTTTCACAACCCGCAATGGTGTGCTGTAGTCACTGTCACTCCACGTGCAGCCTACAACTTTGATCCCTATGTCAAAACAATGAAAAAAAAATATTAAATGATTGCTTTGTTGTCAAAGTTTATGCAGTCAGAACTGTCCTAAAGCTATGTTTTGTGGCTCACACCGGGGTTTCTTTCTTGTTGGTCGCTGTCCACAAACCTCGAAGCACTTCTTCGCAAGCACAACAGAATTATGACATTTGTACCTTAAGAAACTGTGTTCCTTTCACCCAATAATATAAAGAACATTACTTTCCGTTGAATAGAGCATCATATTTCGTTCAGTCCAATAACAAATAATATTTAGTTTTCATTCACGAACCAAACGTTCACTGTTCTGTTGTTGCCCAGCATGCAACGCTGCGTCCTGTTTAAACACAGAATGCATTACATCAGTCAGAATTTTCTGCAGTGATTCATCCTTCAGAGTTTAGGCCCACTGGAGTCCTTGGTGGTTGCCTTCTTCAGGGCACTCTTGTTAAATCCCGTGATAGAAGAGAGCAACGCACTGCGGTCTGTGGTACCACCCGCAGCGACTGGTGGTCCCGGTGGCGGCGGCGGCGGCGGTGGTGACGACGGCGACAGGGGTGCAGGTGGGGGAGGAGGTGGGGGTGGTGGTGGTGGGGGAGGGGAGGCGGCACCGGCAGGGACCTCTGGTTTGGACGCCACATTGGACCCTGGAAAGGTGGGAGCGCAAAGCATCAGCTGCACGCAGACCCGACTGGAGTCGACTGGATTTGGTTTCCCCGGCTGTGCAAGTTTCATTTTATGTTGAGTTCAGAGCCGAAAATCAAGGAGCCGCAAGCGATTCACCTGTGGTGGGCATGCGTGCCAAGCTTCGCCACTTTGCATTAGCTTGTGTCAAACTTCACCGCTTCAACTGACATAGGACGGCATTAGCTGAATCGATCGGCCAGTTAAGATTATAATTAGGTCCTCAACGCTAAGAGTTCTCCACATAAAAGTCGACCCGTATTTGAATAGATACGGTACTGTGGTCTCCCGAAAGGCGCATCAACAAGCTTCTTCTGCCTGTGGAAAGGGGTAGGCAACCCCTAGGTACAACTGTGCGCCCACCCACCTGCGGGCGGTGCCGGCGGTGGAGCCGGCGACCTGGGGTAGGAGACGTCGTTCCTGTCGGCACCTGCCTTCCTCAACTCGAGGGCGGCCTTCCTTCGCCGGTCCTCGTTCAGTGCCAGGCGAGCCTGGGCCTTGCTCACCTTCGCCTGGTGTCGCACCTGTGCGGTAACCACACATGGATCAATCGCTTTAGAAGAAGTTACACAATTACAATTATCAATTGCAGGTATTCTCAGACTTTTCAAAGTATGAATGCTTTTTAATGAAGCCCCCATTGTTGTCTGCCCGTCCATGCTCTTCCAGCTAAATTTAGCGAGAAAATCAACGTCACATGACCTAGTGTCACGTGACCTGTACATTAATTCAGTTTCTCCGCTAAATTTAATGGGGAAAATTGGTGTCATGTGACCTGACGTCACGTGACCTGTATGCCAATTTAGTTTCCGGCTAGCGGGAAAACTGACGTCACGTGGCCTTTGTACCAATTCAGTTTGCCTGCTAAAGTTAGCGTGGAAATTCATAAAAAAGTAGGTTCTTCACTACCTGAAAGGACTGTTTAATGTCTTTTAAACACATTTAAACAATCGCTTTTCAAATACTGCATTTCATGCATTAAAGGCCTTGTTGGGTATTACCTTAGTTTTCTAACAATAGTTTTTCTAAACAACGTCAGTGTGTTCCTGATAAAAATCAGTATAATTTATTTACCAAATCATGTCCGCAGTCAAAAACTTTGCACTGCATTCTGCCTCGCAACTGCCAGTATATACAGTGCAATCCAATTATAATGATAATGAGAAAGCCTGAAAATTCAATTGTTATAACCCATTATTGTTGTATCTAGACTAGAAACTAAGCGTTTCTAGTAAAAAATCTCTAGGAACTGATCGTTATAAAAAGGACATTGTTATTGTAGTATCGTTATAAGTGGATTTCACTGTACTGTAAATTTCATCCATATTAAGCCAAATGTTTAAAAGTTGACCCTTTTTGAGTAGTGTTCTCCCTCAAAGGAGCTGTGCAACAATGTTAACGTTGAAAGAATTTGCATCTTCTACTTTTGGCATTGTTTATCTTGTCACAAAGGACAGAAAACACATCTCCTTCCTTCGAAATGTTGCGATTCCGCCGAGTAATAGCGAGGCAATAAACGTAATATTCCCCGACCTGCAGCCGCGAGCAGTGACCATGACAACCACACGGCGTGACATTAATGGGGGACTTGTAAAAAGATAGCAAGTTATGCAAGTACCTGCTCGTTAAAAGGTAACTTTTTATAAATCTTGTCGTTCCAACATAAATATAAATACGTCAAAAACCTGGTATCATCAACAAAACTTTTATTGTTTGGAGTTTTAGTGGCGCCATCTGTCCGAGGTCAACAAAACCGTCAGCTCTATCTGCTACCGCGAATAGCCGCCAGAAACTGAAGGGGGACGGAGGCAGAGCCGGACGGAGATGGCCGGGCCTGGACGTTGCCACTTTCCTCCTTTCGCCATCAGTGATCGTGCTGCGCAAGCATGTGGTCACATGGTTGCGAGCGGGCGAGTTCTCGCTGCTCACTGATGGTTCTAGAGAGAAAGAGCTTCACCAGAACCCCACGCGTCCCCCATTTACGTCACAGCACACGCGACTCGGAAGATGGTGAAGGAGTTGAGAGGTGCCGAAAACCTCAATCTTTGCCCCGATTTTTAAAATAAAAATAAAAACATGCCAACAAAAGTTTTTTTTTTTTTTTTCTTTACTTTAGAAGGGTTGAGACACCAAGTCCCAAATTATTTAAGCAAAGCACTGAAATTGTTGCACAGCTCCATTAATAAAGGATGCCCCCTGCGCAAATTGGATGCAAGTGCGCTCGCCAGCGTCGTCGAGTGGCGAGAGGGACAGCAAGTGGAGAGGTTGAGGAAAAGTCGGAGACGCCTGCAGCCGATCAACTTTTTCTTGCACTTTGTATTGCAAACACAGCTCGTAAACCATGTGACTCAGACTGAGCGGTTGGAAGCACGCTCAAATCTAGACATATTGGGGGAAAAAGCCGATGGGCCTTCACCTGCTTCTGGTCTTCCTGAAGCCTGCGTTCGGTCTGCAATCGGGCGGCCTTCAGGGCGTCTTTGAGCAGGGCGGGAACCTTCAGGCCCAGTTTCGCAGAGCCACTGTTTGTCACGGGGGCACTCTGAAAGAACCTGAAACCGGGCACCCCGAACCGTGGGCCATGAGGCAGGAAGGAACTATACTTAACTTTTTGCTATGAACCAAGGTAAATTTATAAAAATAAGGCGAATTTTGTTGTCACTGTATGCCTCACTGCACAACCTAAATTTTCTTCCTATAAATATTTTAAACCTATGATCATCTATAATGATAAAAAAAAAAAGCAACTGAAGAATTAAGTGTTTGTACACAATGCAAATTCATAGCTCTCGAAAGGAAGAATAAATATTTCATTTCGTAAAATGTTGGTCAAAGCGGTCACTGAAGACAATGTTACTGGGCAGGTGAGCTGGTTGTTATTTGGCATACTAAAACCTGAGATGGAGGCAAAAAAAAAAAAGAAAAAAGGAGAACAAAGACAACGTCTCAGTTGCGGCGTTTTGCTTTTCTTCCTTTTATGCCTCCGTCTCAGGTTTTAGAACGTCGGAAAGCGGTCACTTCAGGAAATCAACTGCGAGAGTGGAAACTAGTCAAATGCAAACTGCAATCAGGGAGGCCATGATAATCTGTGACACCCCAACAGTAGTGTCACAACAACAAAACGATACTCCCGTAGAGTGTCCTTAGCGCAGAACTGTCTAAACTCATGCTTGAGTGCCAGCGGTGCAGTATCAGGTATCGTTATCGGCATGTAAAACAGTCCACTAAAACTCACTGAAGACACACGGTTTTGACAGTAGCGACACTGCCAAAAACCGTGCATCTTTAGCGAGTTTTAGTAGACTGTTTTGCGTGCCGGTAATGATACCCGATACTGTACTGCAGCCACTCGTGCGGGACTTTCGACCGTTTTGACTAAGGACATTGTACGGGAGTATCGTTTTGTTGTGACTGTACTACTGGGGAGTTAAAGGTTATCATGAACTGGCTGATTGCGGTTTGCATTTGGCTAGTTTTCACTCTTGCAGTTTATTCTCTCAAATGACCACCTTCTGACATTACTTTGTGGTCGCTGGTCACAAACTAATCACAGGCCTTGCAAATGCTTTTCTAGAAACGTAAGCAGCAATTATAAAAGATAAAAAAACAGCATTTATTTTGGCCAATTGGCAGTTGGAATAAACACTTCACGAGTGGCTGCAGTACAGTATCGGGTATCATTACCGGCACGCAAAACAGTCTACTAAAGCAAGGAGCAGGCACCGGTCTTTGTTCGCATACGACCCGAGAAGGTAATCGCACGCGGGAGAACGGCAGCATCAAGCATAGCCCCCGCCCCGCCCCCTCCACTGCCCTTAAGGGCAAACACACTAACCAGAAAAAAAACAAAAAAAAAAAAAACAAATTCTGCAAAAAAAATTGATTTTGAAAAATGCAAGATTTACATCCACCTATTCCCAGAAAGTTTCATTTGTTTACACTGCACAGGTATTTTTTTATAAATTATTTTCAGTCCACCAATGATAAGGAAAAAATGGAGGTTCGAGCACTTCGAACACGATTTTCTCTGCTCCACTTTTTTGCCATAAATTTCACTTTAAAGGGATGCTGTACCGAAATCTGGATTCCACAAAGCACGGCGGCAAAAGCGTGCAATGGGACGCTACAAACATCAAAACATCACTCATACAACAATGTCTCAAACGGATGACCATATTTTTCAAAAAAAAGAAAAAGGAGGTGCATTTGACAAAAATGTTCACGTCATGTTCTCCGAGAAGGAGAGAGAACGGCCTCGCGTCTACTTCACCTCGCCTCCTTGAAGGGGCAAAGCGAAGAGAGGAGAAAACGAGGTATCTTCACGTCACGCTCCTCGTCGGCCTGGTTCAATCTCGACCTCTTTTTCCCAAAATACGGCCATCCATTTGAGATATCGCCTTACGAGTAGTGTTGTAGGGATTGTAGCGTCCCGCCTACATCTCCTGCATTGTTTTTTTTAAATGCAAATTTCGGTTCACCATCCCTTTGAAACTATTGGGAGACTTAATATTTGCGGCTTATATGCCAAAATTTTATGGAGTCGGTTACTATGAACCTAGATTTTGCATTTTCATGTTATTTTATTATGAAAAATTGTAATTTGCAAAACTTGGTAAATGTGAAAATTATTTTTTTTTATAATTTTTTTAACCTGGAAAATGCATATTTTCTGAAATTTCTTTTCATAGTAACTGGCAACAGGTATTCCAGTACGTGTTCCACCAGAAAATTCCAGTACGTGTTCCACACCATTCCTCAACGATAGATTCATTAGGCAGATTCCATGCAAAGCAATGCTTTACTTTGTTCTGGGTGTAAAGTACCTCATAAAATTGGTTCAGAGGGCTGAAACTTTGCATGCCCTCCTTCTATATGGCTACAAACACCACCTTCAAATATCCGCCGATTGAGTGAACGGTTCAAAAAAATCAAATTTCCAGATAATGTCCCCCCTTAACCCTGTGAGCGGAAGTATGCAAAGGGTTCAGTTTGCTCACGGATGCATCAAGAGGTCAGCTATTGAAGGCACGCCATTCTTGCAGGCTTCGGTCGAGAGCAGCGCTTCCAATACAGATCCTGCACAGTAATGACATAGAGATTTATCAGAGAAGAATGATAACCGGTGATTCAGCCAGATCCACTACATATGGCAATTCAGGAGGTGCGTTTGTCATCCACATCGACTCACTCATTTCTGGGGAGCTGGAATTCGGGAAGTTGTCGCAGGTGGGCGTGCCGCACGGCCGACCAAACGCCATTTCATACACCATGTGACCAAAGCTGTACACATCCACAGCCTCTGCCGTCTGTCCCAGAAGACAAAATGGTTAGTACAAGGAGTTAACTACATCCGTCGCTGCTGCTAAGCCAAGCTCACATCGTTATACGACGTGCAAAGAAACAATGCAGCGTCTAGCTGTACGTCCGACGGAATTCGAAATAAAAATTAAGGTTACGTCCGACGTAACTTTACTCCAAGGTTTCGAGTGACGTCCGACGTAACCCAAAATGAAAATTAAATTTATACCCAACGGAACTCGAAATCAAAATTAAAGCTACATCCAACGGTACTCAAAATAAAAATTTAAGTTACGTCTTTTGTAACCTATGCTTACTTTGTGGGATGTTTGACTTTACAGCCGATACATGACATAAATACAAAAGTAACATGAATGATTACTGCGTTACGTCCAATGCAGCATTCGTTAACCGGCTGAAATTGCGTCATCCATGCTTCCATGTTTGTCGAGGGGGCTGGGGCGTGTTCCTCGCATATGGACGCTGCAGAAGCCAAGTGGGCTCGATGCCCATCACATTCATTTTTACATTGAAGCTGTTTATGGTTAGGGTTCCATGGATTTTTTATGTGCGTCAACCAAAACTCAGGTCCTGAATTTGATGCAAAATCGCTTCATTTTATGCGAAAGCTTATACGTCTCATCACTTGGATATGCATTTTCAGTAGATTAGTTATCAATAGGTACCATTTTCAAGATCAGTAGACTCTCAGGTAGATAATAAAGGTTTCTCAAAGATTTGCCGCTGTGTGACCCGCGTCGGCCATGTCTACACTCGCACCGCCCTCTCTTTGTCGTCGTTCCAAGCCACTTGCATGCCTAGTTTCCTTTCCTTCTGCTCTCCCAGTCAAGACAATAAATGTGTTTGTACCTTCGTTAAAAATTCTGTGTCACGTCTGTGTCGTGTGCTAAACAGCTTCGCCGGTCATACACCTTCACAGAGTGGGATGGCTTATGATTTTTTTTTTTCTTTTTGTTCCCCTCCATTTAGGACGATTTATTGTGATTTTTCTTTCCGATCCCAAAACACTTCTTGTTGTATGTAACACACACACAAAAAAGAAGAGAAGTGAAGTAAACATCTTGGGAAGGAACAGTGGCAAAAAGCTTGGACAAAGGAAAAGAAACACACACAACAGACGGCGCTGGACTAACTGTTTTTTTAATACACAAAAAAGGAAGGAAGAAAACAAGAAGCATGTTAATCTGACAAAAGACAACAACCAAGCAGCATATTTTTACTCAAGATAGGCCATATCAGTGGCTATGTAATGCCCTTCATAGCTGATCGAAGGCACCCGAATTCTTTTTCAGATAAAGCCACTGACAGCTCGCTGATGGATCTCCCGCCAAGTTCAGAGATAAAAAAAGCCTCGATAATTTTCCTTGCCACTCTGTCTGTATGTTTATCCAAAACAAGAGACTTCACTAAAATTAAGCTGGCACTTGCAGTCCCTGCAGTACAAAAGTAGCAACACCCCCAACAGTGGCACTGAGTGAATATGAATATTCTCCAAGTCTGTTATTTAGACAGCGGCCCATCTGTCCAACGTAGACATTGCCGCAGATCTTGTAAACCACGCCAGACAGACAAGCCACGAACGGTACTTCGTGGTGCATTTCTTTTTCGACCGCTTTTCGGCGGTAGCAACGAGCTTGCACATATTTGACAGATTTTTTGTGGGGCAGAAAACACCACCGGGACACCATAGCGACCTCCGACTTGCTTAAGGTTATGAGATACCCGATAAAGATAGGGCACGACCACCATTCTTTTTTTGTCGAATTTAGTCTTTATCCTCTTTATCGCCTTAGCTTTTTTCATAAAGGAGCTAGCCATGCACTGCCGTCAAAAGGGCAGATGGAAACCCTGACAGCTTCAGTCTTTTAACCTGCCCGTTGAAATAGTCCTTCATCAAGTGGATGTACAACCTTTTAAGGGCGGACCCAAGACAAGAGACTGCAATGCTCTTTTTTACCAATATTGAGGGGCATGATCTATAATCCAGAATGTTCTTTTTTGTGTGTGGACTAAACGACCAACAAACACGTTTTTCTCCAAAGCACAACGAAAGGTCAAGGGATTGAAGAACCTCTTTGTTGGGCTCTTCAGACGTAAACCTGAGCCCCTCGCCACAGTTCTCAAAAACAAAGTACCTTAGCCTGTGTGTCAACCCCATCAGCGCCCCCAAACACAACCAAAAAATCATCCACACAGCAAAACACTTTTTTGACGGTGGACACTGCAAGAGCACTTCTTACACTTCTAACCACTTCGCCAAGATAGATGCCACTAAGTATTGCGGCCACACAGGACCCAATGCAAACTTCAGTTTTTTGTAAAAAAATTTATTGGCCCATCCAACCACCATCGAGCTGATGTACTATAAACTTAAAAGCTCAAGTTTCCAGCTATAATTTCTGAACGCAAGTTCTCTGATTAAGATGCTTGTTGTTTTCTTTCGTTTTTTGTGCATTAAAAAACCAGTTGTTAGTTCAGCGCAATCCTGTCGTGTGTGTTTCTTCAACTTTGTCCAAGGTTTTGCCGCTATTCCTTCCCAAGATGTTCGCTTCGAAACAACTAGCCCAATACGTCACATTATTGAAGTGAAGTAACATTAACCAAATGGGAATCAAACCACCAAACATCCTCCTTTTTTTTTTTTTTTTTTTTTTTTTTACTTGTGCTTGTTACATTAGCTTGTGGCCCTCGCTGGCCCGTGCTGAGAGCAAAGTTGATATGGCTAAGGGCAGAGGGTCTATTGTCATTCTCACGCCCAAGCAGCTCCCTCGAACAGCTCTTTATTTAAGGCAGTTTGAAAAAAAAAAAAACACTGCCAAAGCTAGTGCATGTAGCGACTTGAGTGGTATGTGAAGGTTGTGCCAATTTTCAACAAGTCTGTTGGAAACCCTGCTCCTCTAAAGAACACACGTTCATATCACATTACCATTCTATTTCTTTAAATAACTGGTTCAAATGTCTGTCCGCAAATGCACAAAGATACTTTTTTTTTTTTTTTTTTAATTTTGTGTTTTGTCAGACGTAACTAATTTTTCTTTCGAGTTCCGTCGGACGCAACTTTAATCTTCATTTTGGGTTACGTCAGACATAACTCTAAACCTTGGGGTGGAGTTACGTCATACGTAACTTTAATTTTTATTTCATGTTCCGTCGGACGTAATGCTAGACACAGCAAACAAAAAAAAAAACTTTAGGCTTTCAAGTGGCCAGGACTGCACGTCCCATCGCATCACAACAAGGACAGCGCGCGACAAAAGTCGAGAACCATCCTACTGCCGGAATCCCTAAAATCCAAAAAATAAGGAAGCAAAAGAAAAATTCCTTAACAACAAAACTATTGAGAATTTCCGCACTTGGGCAACGTCTTCAAAACGTGCCCGGTGCCATGCGCATTGCACAACACTTATTCTCTTTGTAGTTGGACAATTTGAGATTTTAAAAAATCCATTCCCCTTTGATAAAACCCGCCATTACTACCAACGATCGCCCGGTCGCTCGTGCCTAAACTTTTCCGGGCGGCGGCCGAAGCGAGGGGCCGAGACTCACCCGAATCTTCTTGAGGCTGACCAGAAAGGGCCGCAGGCGGCTGGGCAGCCCCAGCAGCTGGTTCTCCAGCTCCAAGAGTGCACAGCCGTCGCCCCGCAGGACAACGTTCCCGAGGTGTAGGTGTCCTGCACGGGCCGACGCACAGTCTCAATTGTTGTGGCCACAACCGAGGTCGAGTAGAAGGCGAACGTTGGAGCCACGGAATGAGCTACGCTTAGAGCATCGGCAATCTGTTCCTCGATACTGTCGCGGGCGCCGTCACCTCGGATATTGTGCAGAGCAGACGCAACTGCCAATCGTCACGATTCAAAAGTGCTATTTCCTTAGCATTAGATTCGGTGTTGGAAAGCTCGCATAATATTGCTTCACTCTGTCGCAAACCGTCTTAACGTTTGTGGAGGATAAAAAAGTGTTTCCTATGATTTCAGATAAAGCTTCAGATAACCGGCAACCATGATTTCAAGCCCCCAGATGGGTAAGTGTCGTTACTCTGAAGCGTAGCTTATTTAGCGGCACTAGCGAGCACGTTGGTTGCATCTAGATGCCGCTGAAATAATAAACGTGAGAACGGACAAAAATGATGCATCCCTTGTCCATCCTCGTATTTATTCTTAAAAAAAGCAAAACTGACGGTTGTGTTTATACGGCGTAAAGTTGGTCTGCCTTTAAGTGTGGTGACGCCGGTTTTCAAGTTAAAGTTGGAAAATTTAGCCAGTGTGGCACCACTGCTAGCCCGAAATCTTTAGCGTGCATCATGCAGTAATGATACTTGACCGCACGCCAGTACGACGCTCGTCCAAATCGAGGGTTCCTGGGATGGAACCCAGGAACCCTGGATTCTGCGACAGGAGCCTTCACCAAGTGCTCCAAGCTACGGTGCGCTAACATGCTCGGCCGCAATGAGCTTACTAAGATTACGGAAGAAACTTTTTCTTTAGACTGGTTTCATACAGTGTACGGTATCCCACAAATTCATAGGTAAAATGTTAGGTACACGCGCGGTTTATTTATTTACAGATACTATCATATCACCCTGTGGCATATGGCATAAGAGGCATTATCGAAGGGAAGAGGGAGGAAAAGTAAAATTTTGTAAAAGTTAAAAAAAAAAAAGAAATGGACCCCCTTTTTGTGGGTGCCAGAAACACTCGAAACGCAGGTTTGAGGGTCTTCAAACAGCAGGCCACCAAGAAGCTATTGATCGGGTAGGTCTTGTAATGTATGTCGTAAGAATGAAAGAAATCTAACGCATGCTACAAAGTCACACCATTCAATGTACAGTTAAAAAAAAAAAAAAAAGACTCAAACTGTCTGTTGGTCTTCTCACGTCAGAAATATCTTGCGAGAGCTATACTAGATTGGCAAAAAGAACAACAGAACGGAGCAATACGCAGATACCGAGTAATCGCGCCCCAACCGCATCTCCATACCTGCCTTGTTTGGAGAAACAAAGTCTGGGAGAATTTCTAACCAGGGGGAGGGGGGGGGGGGGGGGGTTAGGTAGGGGTTTTTTAAAAAAGAAATATTGATAACAAATGTACCAAAAAGACAACTTCATTACATTTATATTGCCCTGCTCATGCTAGCAAGGAACAGCTGGGCCTCGCTATCATTGCAGCCGTTCATTACGACGACAAAAACTCCTTATTTAAGTGCGGGGGCGGGGGGGGGATTTGCGTTTTCCGGGAGGTCTTTTTGTCAATCGTACAACTGCACAAATTGGTCAGAATTGAGGAGTCTCCCGGGTATATACGTTGGCAGCTATGCATTCCCAGCAGCGGCTGCTGCCAAAACTACCAAAGAAGCTTCGATCTCGTGACATCTGGCCAATTTACCGTCTTAGTTTTCGTGTCGTCCCTCTTCCGACAGACACCGATATGGAGTAGGTGCACAGGGTCTCATCTAATCTACGGACAAATCACAACAAAACGCAATGCTTCCTTACCTTCTCCTCAAAAATGTGAATAAGTGCTGCTCGCAACAATGGAGGTGCAGGAGATCCGAATACACCTCAGCCACCGAAACCCAATACAATGGCAACGGGAGACTACCTCGGGCCGGCCTACACGTTTGCATTTGAGTGCGATCGAGTGCGTTGTTGTGCTCTCTACTATGCGCTTATGACTAGATAAACACTCTGGCATGCTTGTGCCATCTATCAGGTTCCTCTATCAAGCCCTGGAACACATCTGGTCCCCATGCACGGTATTTTCTAATTTTTTATGCATCATTCTTTCATTGTGGGCCCAAATAATTCCAACAATGCCATAAGCGACCGTTTCCCATAGGCAGTGTGAAAGTTTTGATCACGCAAATACTGCACTACCTTCAGTCAAGTAACACAAAGTTCCGGGGCTTCCCTACAGATGGTGCCAGTGCATCCTTTTGTCACGAGCGGTTATGAGAGAATGCAACACACTCTTCACGCTCTCACGCAACTGCGCAAACCGGCCCTCGTCTCGCGATGAAGGAGACTCTCTTTGAACCCCACACACGTTCTTCCATCCGCGAAAAAGGTGAAGTTACCCACCGTGGCAGAATCCGTGCTGGTGCAGCGCAAGGAGCACCTGCAGCACCTGCTTTCCCAGCTTGGCCACCGCCGGAGGGGGCAGCGCACGAACTTCTTTCGGGGTGCCATACTTCCGCAAGTGACTGTCCCTGGGCCTGGCCTGGCAAGCAGATGGCAAGGTCTCGAACCCTAGGCTCACTAGACGCTCCCAAAGTACCTAAAATCCTCTAAGCTTCCTTTCGAGTGACAGCACAATAATCGAGCACTTCACAACGAAGGGAAGCCCTTCAGTTGTCCCTCCTCTAGCATGGCATAAATGTTCTGCATGCTTTTCTTCTTGCCCCCAGCATCAACCAATCAAAAAATTCAATCCCTTCGATTCTCTGCATCTAGCGAATGCCACGAAATGCAGCAGTCTGGGAGCACCAAGGGACTCCATTGGACCCTGTGTCTGTTCTAAGTGCCTGTTATAACATCCCGAGAGTTTGCCCGTTCTTACGGGCAAACTCTCGGGATGTTAAAAAAATAGCATGTTTCTGAAACTGGGAACGGCCTGGCCACCCTACGATACAGGCTAAAGAGCAGTCACAGAGGCTGTCGCATTATTGTGCCATTCACGGCCTCCAGCCTCACCTGACAGAGGGCATCCCGAAGCGATCCTTCGGAGCAAAAGTCCCGGATCATGGCGGCCCCGCTCTCGTTCACACAGCCCAGGGACAAGGGCCAGACGTGAGGGTGCTGTGTAGAAAACAGAAAAACAGGGTGGTTTAGTATATATTGGTCGAATTAGGGAGTTCGAAGCTACCTTAAGGTCTAGCAACCATGGCCAATGAGTCCCACAATCAACACATTAAACAGCCTTGCTGGCATTTCCCCATAATGTAAGAAGAATCAAATTCATGTGCATTCGTCATATCTCCGATACAATATTAAGAAACTTATACCTTTGAAGTTTATGAGAAGTAGAGGGTAAGGTCTTGCACCAGCATGGGCACATGCATGTTACTGTATGGTGCACACCAGGAACCGAACTCGCCTCTTGGGGACTCACTATGCGAATGACAGATTTATTTTCGAGAAGCGAGTAAACATCAAGGGCCATAAGAACCTCGGATGGTGCTTCGGACACCATAAACATATGGAGCTTATCTGTCATGGTTGTGTGGTTATGACATAGGAGTTGATCAAATTTTGCCAATCAGTTTTCATCATTATTAGAGCCCTAAAAAACACCAACGTTGGAGTGTACATTAAGTGGCAGACGAAAATTTCATGATAACAATAATAAAACTTTCTAATTTTCATAGATTACATGGATTTCATGTCATAACCCAGTTAGGTCGGTTGATTATGTTTTCAAACACCATTCCCAGTTTTTGCATTGCTTCAAAACGCAATCTCATCAGTGATGTAAAATGCTTTAATGATTGTTCAGTAACACAGTCTCCCATTAAATATGGCAAATGGTGGAAAGTTTTACCACCCTAACAACTCCCCTAGTGGTTCTAGGTGACTGTTAGGCTCACCTGGATAGAGGCAAGCAGCTTGAGTGCAGACTGCAGGTCTTTGGCATTCAGGTAGAAGTCTGGCCCTAGGGGGACCTAATTTAAAAGAAAAAGGCTAAGTTTCAACATTATGGGGACTCTTAGGGTTGATCCGCACAACAAACCAGTCTGCAGACCAGTTGGTCTCATGAAGAGCAGCCTGAAAGTCATTTGGTTGCAAGGACCATTCATACGACAGACCAAAAGAGCAGATGGAAGAACAGACAGACTGGCCTAACTCTTGACCCCAAGGCTCTGCCAAACAGTAGCAGCGCACTGCTTTGAGGCTAGCTGCCAGATTTCGTACCTTCAACTGTTCTAGGGAGGCCACGGCCCGCTGCCAAAATTTATCAGAGAAAAGGCGATTAGGGATGCCCTCCTAAAGTTCGAGTTTGAATGATTTAGAAAATTCTAACCCTGCCAAAGCTCAAATTAAAAACTCCCTCCCTCCCCTCTCCCTCCCCCCTACCTCAGCCCCCCAAAATACAGCTGATCAGGTCACGACTGGTTGTCATCGGGCTAACTATATTTCCACTGCCTGGAACTCTTCTTCATTAGTAACCAGGCGGTTACTAATAAAGTTGAATAAACGCCGACCCAGCGTTTGCTGTAGCACATCGCACTCCGCCACGTGCCTTTCACCAGCCAGTTGCACTCAAGGAAATCGGGGGACTTTCATTCAAAAAACAATATGAAGGACGTCCAAAGCGAAGCACCTCAGTTGAATTTCAAGCCAGCAGATCAGGGATCTGTTGGTCCGCAAGTCACCTCGAGGTAACCTACGGAGTTGTGCACAAAGAGCGGCTCTGTGCGGAAGTCAAAAGAAAAAGGTGCGATGTACAAGGCCGAATCCACCCCAAGGCGTCATTCGGCACTTTAAGGGGGGACAGTACCCAGAAAAAACAATTTTGGCAAAAAAAGTTGATTTTAAAAAATGTCATATTTACATCCACCAACACCTAGAGAGTATTCCCAGAAAGTTTCATAAGTTTACACTGCATAGTTATTTTTTTTATAAATTATTTTCGGTCCTCCGATGCTAAAGAAAAGGCAGGGGTTGGAACAGATTGAACACATTTTTCTCCGTTCCACTTTTTGGCATAAATTTCACTTTAGGAAAACTATTGTTTTGTTATTACGTAACTTGGATTCATTTTAATGAGTTCTTCTCGAATGAAATTTAAAGGGGAAGATAGCTATGAGCTTGTATTTTTTATTCTTGTCATTTTTCATGCTCAAGAATGAAACTTTTGGACAAAGAATGGAAATCTAAAAAACAGTATTTGAGTTTATGTGGCTTTTTTGTCAATAAAGATGGTATAATATAGAAATATAGCTCCATAGCTATCTGCTCTGGACTGTCCTAAAGCAATATAACACATGAAAACGACAAATTTATAAGTATTTTCAAAACGATAGTTTTGAAAATACTTTTTTGTACTTCACCCAGGTTAACAAAATATGGTAGAAATGTTCTCAACATGAACAGCAACAAGCCCTGTAAATGTCATTTAAATCAGACAAGTGGTTCAAAAATTCACTTTTTTGGGTAGTGTCCCCCCTTAAAAGCGAGTCGTTTGTGGCATGATCAGCTAAGTAAAACTCCAGTGCAATTTTCACTCGATTTCATACATTGACATCTTGTGTTACTTATACATGTTGCTCGAAACTTGGTTGGAATTTTTGTTCAGAAGTTCAAAGTTTGTCGAACTTGTTAACTTAGCAAACTCGACAGTTTGAAAATCATCAAATTTTTTAGCGTACAAGTTCAAAAGTAAAGAAATTGTTGAATTCCATAGAGCGTAAAATTTTAAAAGCTTGAAAAAAATATAATTTCTTAGCGGCAAAAATTGAAAGATTAAAAATCGTCGAATTTTTTATTTACTGTATTAAGTTTGACATTTCGAAACGTCTTCAAACCCTTCACTTCGAAAAAGTTTGCCGCATCTCTAATGGCAATTGACACTTCTCAACAGCCTTGTCTGCAAACCGGCGGCAGACCTCACGAACTGGTGAGATGGGGTCGCACAATTCGCTGACTGCGGACCAAAACGACGATCTGGTCCGTAGTGTGGATACACTTTTACCGGCTCATTCTAGTCATGACAGCTTCCTTGTCAAGAATGCCTGCCAATCTTAGTAGAAACTGCCTAACATCTACAACAAAGTACGATGATATAAGCAGCTATGGTAGTTTTTTCTACCAAGACGTCCCCCTGGAATATACAGCCAAAAAGCACTATAGCCCACAGAGAATAAGTTACGCAGAAGTCAGCATTGCTGCATGTTAATGACAAAAATCAAATTCCAGAACTGTAGAGACTGCTGCTGGAGCACAACAAATTCTATTTTAAAGGGCAACTCCGCTTCATTTTTGATATTTAGAAAACTATGTAGCCCTCTTCAGTATCATATAGGAAGACCCCATGTCAAATATTACGATCTAATTCCGTCTATATATTTAATAAACTGGCCAGCGAACCTTCAAGCGAGCCAAGTCGCCGAAATCTGCCAACTCTAGCGTGCGGCGCGAGGCGCAATCATCAGCGCAGTCAATGCCACGGAGTTGGAGCGGCCAACGTTGAACCACTACGTCAGAGGCATGCATACTTCATTCTCACGTTTTGCTTGTTTTTACTTTTCAGAGCGAAATTTAACGATGACATCATGAGTTTCTCCTCCCGGTGTTGGCTGACCGGGCGTTCACGTGATCACCGCTGCCCTGCGCGCTTATCGGTCTGTTTCTCCGCTCCCCTTCTCCTCTTTCGTCTTCTCCCCTTTCCCCCTCTCCCCCGGGCCATCACCGTCCACGCCATGCAAAGCGACCTGCCCGCGTCCAAAAAAAAAAAAAAAAGGACCTGCCCGCGTCGCGTGTCCTGTTTCTCGCTCCCTCCCGAACGTCACAAGACCACGTGGTTCGACGTGAGGTGCTCATGACTGTGACGACCCGAGACCAATGTTGCCTGACGCAACCGAAGTTTCGGTTTCGGTATCTGCTGATGTTTAAATTAGGATTACACAAATATTATTCCACATTTCGCGAATCCGAAGACGTAGAGTTGTTGAGTATTACTTTGTGAATGTGAATCACATGGAAGCCTAAATTTTTCGGAATTGAGCGGAGTTGCCCTTTAAGTCATTAACAGGTTTAATAGGACAAGAAGTGTATTAAGTACAAACCGCATGTAAGCGATCTGGCGAGCGATGAGACAAGCGACGGCGACCAACTTCAGTCGCACGAGGGAAACCGCATGAAAGCGACGGGACCAAGTGACAAAGGCGATGAGCGACGTTTTCTCGAAATCCAGAAACCGAGCGACAAGACAGGCGACAGTGAGAAATCTTTATCGCTTGTCGCTGATTCTCGTCGCTGTCGCCGTCGCTCGCTAAATCGCTTACATGCGGTTCTGTCTTTACTGTAGCCCTGCCTCTAGTGAAAACTCATACTTGGGTGCCACTTCGGCAGTACCGCACTATGCTCAAGCAAAAAGGAGAGCTCACCCAGGAAAGCAAACGGGGCTTCTCTTTAGGCTCGTCCTTGCGTCGCACCAGGAAGTACTGCTTACGGACGCGCCAGCCTGGGCACACCGAGGAAACATCATCACAACTGTAGATTTGCAGTCCTAGTAACTCCACTTTATTATGTGACCTTCGTCTCCATAGATGTTTACCATGAATGTCTAGAGAACGCCTACGAACATCTGAGCATGCAGGACTTCAGAATGTTGATCCCGCAGACATTATGCATCAACATTTTTTGTTTGCTAGTGTCAGTTTCGTAGATCAGATGCCTCTCGTCTCCACGTTATATGCAGACTCTGCTGTCTGATATCTTCTTATATTGGAAGTTTATTCCGACCTCATGATCGAATAACTTTGACGTCATATTTCGACTGCCAGCGTTACGCCTGGGAAGAGTATATCCAGGCCCTCTGCAGTGCTAAGTTTATTTCTAGGGTTAACAGGAACAAGGCTTTTATTTTTTTGGAAATGCCCTGTAGCTTATTTGATATGCTTTTCATTTAATGCACTTTTCTTTTACTTCCCCGAAGTGCAAAATCCAGGAGTTACAATATATATATTTATTTCAAATTACTTTTTTGCATACCTTACCAGCACCGAAAAAAAATCTCAAAGAGAGTACATCACGTCGAAGTTTCCTTAAGTCTTTCTTCCGCTACGCAAAATAGAGCCCTCTCAAGGCTACGCCCAGAATACAAGCACTCTTTCCAAAACATAACTTTTTGAGTTACGTTAGGTTACGTTAGGTTTCATGTCAGGAGACTGGCAATCACATCGCTCTGCCACGGTTCATTTCAATAAGTAGAAAAACTGAGGGCATTTCTTGCACTTTTTTCCCATTATGCACGCCTGCAGGTGGTAAAATGTGGCAACACTGCCCCCCCACAACAATAGGGCCGAAGTGACATTACTTCAAAATTTATTGAGAGGCTTTGGCGGAAAGACCTGCTAGAGAGCTTGTTCAGAGACCTGGAAACATCGGGAGCATTTAGTACTGTTTTGTTTTTTTTTGCTATATTTATAATTTTGTGCAGCTTTTGCGGTGGTATAACACAATGCGATTGGAAGCTATGTACGACCACTGCAACGCCTCACTCACCCATGTCAGGCAGGGGTTCCACAACCTCCCAGTGATCCTCAGACCGGAACAGCATTGACACATGCTGCAGGGCTGCCTCTAGCAAAAACAATGACAGGGGTCCACGCACGTCAGTTCGTACTGGCACAACATACGTCTGCATGGTGAGTCATGAGTATGAACAAACCCACCAAAAATAATTCTGTTTCTATGGCCCGCTTCAGATGGGGCAATTTCTCCCAGAAACTTGACGTAGCAACACCGGCCGCCCGCGTTCACATGCAGCAACCAATTGCTGTAATTTTGCCATCATCATCATCAGATTTTATTTTTTTCACTCTTTAGACACACAGTTACGCACTATTAACATGTTTTTATAGCTTTAAATGTCATTGATAATACTAACTCATCTTTTTGAAACGGTTTATCCTCAAAAACAGTACATTTCAAACCTGAACCAAGCCTTTAGTTGTCATCATCACCGGCACAGGTTGACACATGAAAACGTTGTGTCCCAGATTGGCTGCTGCCGCTTCACATGTCTCCGTGTTGTCTCAGTTGCTCGTCCGTTTCGAGCCGGACACAATCTTAGCAATTTGTGTCGCACTAGGGAAAGCTAGGGAACGACTCGCCGGCAACACCGAAATTGCTGGGAAAGTTGCCCCGTCGAAGCGGGCCTAACAAACCGTAATAAAAAAAGAAAAGTTAATGTGTTCGATCAGAATTGGATCTTATAAGCAATTATTAGAAAAAAACAAAAAAATGATATTACAAAATTGATAGACAAAAATTCAATATTGATGAATGACTGTAAACAATGCACTTCTCATGTAGACTGCCAATTACAGCTTTCTAAAGAAGTATAATATTTCACACAGAAGACAAAATGACTGGTAATGCTTCAAACCAAAAATGAGGACTGTACAGCTGAAATATAGTGCAGCGGCACAACTTTTTCATCCTGCAGTTTGCCAAAGTTTGACACCCTTCACAAGGCTGCAAGGTTGATTGGATTTGGAAATATGTGATGGCCATGAATAGTTAGATTATCAGAAATGCTAAGGCAGCTAAGCATTAATTAAACCATTTATGCACTAAGGAGGTCTGTTCTCACCACAAAAGTTTTGGTTGTAGTTAGTGGGATCAAGGAAACGCTTGACGGCCAGGCATTGGGCAAGCAGGGGAACTGCCAGCACCTGGTCCAGGTATTCCTGCAGTAGCAGTATTTCATACATTGAATACAAGACACGAGGGCTACGTTAGAAGCGCTGGCTATGGTTACACTTCAAGGAGAACTTGAAGCCTAGTGCCAATGAGGCTTCCATTCTTTTGTGACTGACCTGGGCGAAATAGACGGTCCCAGTAATAAGGCTGTGGAAGTGGAACCGAAGGCTCTTAAATCGCCCCATTAAATCGCCTAAAATTTATGCAACACTCTTGAAGCAAGCATAGCTTGTTTTTGGCAAGACATAAAGGCTCTAGCGCACCTTACGCATTTTATGGGAAATCTCCAAATAGCATGAATACCAAGCCCCTTACCTAAGAGTGCTCATTGAGAGATGGTGCCACAAGTTACACCCATTGTTAACTCGATCGTCTGCAGACACATCTGCTATACCTCGAAATTTCACCACGTAAAAGCGCACCATAGCAATGCATATTCGATCGAAGTTTTAGCTTCCTATGTACAGGCACCAATTTTTCCGGCTTGTTTCACAGTGCTAAGATCCACTGTAGGCACCCTATACATAGGATCAAGCTTCTTATGTTTTGTTTGAATGTGACAGAAAACAAAGCGTGCCACACACCTGCAGCTTCTGCTGCCTCTCGGCAATGAACTCGCGGCTCAGCTTGTTGAAGAGCTTCTTGGGTGGCAGCGGCAGCTCCAGCCCCGAGATGAGGAGCTGGCCGTGCAGGGCATCGAAGTCGCTGTAGCGCCTCTGCACCGTCCACGCCGCCTCTGCCAACAGGCCCCGCTGGACGCGCAGCGTGTAGCACTGCACACCAACAACGCACCAACGTTTCCGACAGTGTCTTGTTTCGATTTAAGGGGACATTGTAATACTCTTTTTGTTTGTTTCCAACAATGTCTTGTTTCGATTTAAGGGGACACTGAACTACCTTTTTTGTTAAGTGTTTAAATAAAACATGTCTGTCATAAAAAAAAAAAAAAATCCCCCCCCCCCCCAAAAAAAAGAAAAAAATTTAGCGTAGTGTTTACATTACGAAACACATTTTGAGTTAGAAGCGATTCAGATATTTTGGTATGTGAACCATGTTTTAGACTGCTCCTAAAAACACTGAACTTGATCTTTTTTGTGTGTGTGTGTGTATTTGGATTACAGAACAATGTCACAAAATAAAAAAATAAAAAGCTTTTTAGAGCAACATTTATGTCGTGAAACTCATTTGAAGTGATTCTGGAATGTGCATATATTTTGGCACGTCGTCCTGAAATAAAAGCACCAAATAGAACGACGAAAATAATCCCTGGAGAAGGGGAACAAGAGGGACAAGGGACAAACATAAATCTCCAACTTTGTCCCTTGTCCCTCTTGTTCCCCTTCTCCAGGGATTATTTTCGTCATTATTGTCCAGCTCGCTTGCCCCTTTGCATTTAATTGCATTATAATAACCAAATAGAAGCTCACCAATATTTTCAAAACCAGTCTTTGTAACCAACATATTGCGTTATAAGTGTTAGTTCCTCAGGATAGCTTTTTGTAACATTCATGTTTTATCTAAATACCTAAAAAAAAAAATTTTTATTTTAGTTTAGCGTTTTTTTATATACGCGTCTTCTACCAACTGGCTTGTGGTTAAGTATCGACTGTTTGAAAGCCCATGGTCACGTTGAAGATCCCTGCTTACAGGCTTACAGTTATACCGCACCAATTCCAGAACACACCTTTTAGCGTGTCGAATCAGTGGTGCCAAATCCTGTAGGCAGATCAACCTCTCACTGTATAAGCATTGGAAACATCTAATTTGTCTGTTCAACCGGCTCATTCATGACAGGCATTGGTGTGGCCAGTTTTTCTGCTCCTGCTTCATATGCAACGTTCTGTAGCATTGAGTTTCTCTCCTTTGTGCGACGGTTTTCATAAGGTCATCAAGGTGCTACAAATATATTAATAAATGGGGCGTGGTACATACTTTGCTTTGGTTTAACGGTGTTCTTGACTACTGAGCAGATGACATAAGTCACAAGTAGCTTGCTTCATCAGTCTTAGTTAAAAGGGTAGTGCAATGATTTTAATGTTGAAAGTATTTGCAGTTTGTATTTTTTATATTGTTTACCTACGCAGAAATGACAAAAAAATGTGTCTCCATGCCGACGAAAAATTGCTAATCTGCTGCGCAATTGCAAAGGAAAAAAACAAATTATTTGCCGATCTACAGCCGCGTGTGGCGGTTACGGTAACTACGGTGACGCGTCTCTGGGGGACACGTGGAAGTCAACAAAACCCGCCCTCCTCCGCTACTACACTCGCCGTCAGCCCAGTGGCGAACAGTCTTTTGTGTCGATCGCTTGCAGCGACCTTCGATGAAGCTAATCCTTGAAAAGTCTACAATCGTGGAGGAAGCGGTTGGGGTCTCTGAAGAGAGAACCCAATGGGAAACCAGGTGGTTCCCCAGAGTATGTCACACGAAAGACGACATGTGAGTTGAGAGGTGCTTTGACCTTTCATTTGTTTAATTTTTCAAAATAAGAACAAGCACGCACAAGAAAATATGGTTTTCTGTTCTTCGTTCCATAGGTGACACAGATTAATAGACCCTTTCCGAAATTCAGTCTGGCCACTTTGACCACCATCATATGTGCCATACTATACTCTGTTTCACCTTGTGTTGTACCACAGGAAAGGCTACAAGCGCGAGCTCCTTGCTCTAAAGCACATCTCGGCGGCACAAGCTCTCGTGCACCAAGGGCAGCTGCCAACGCTATGAGCTCTCGCTTCTAGCTTTTGCTGCGGTACAACATAAGGTATACGGAGTATAATGGCGGCCTTCTGTTTACTGATAAAGGAAGAAGTTGAAGATGCTCCTTAGCAGATAATTGGAGGCTTATACATTCGTGACGTAAGCGTTCATTTCTAGTTCGGGCCCAGCCAGCCTGTTGGTAGCATTAAGGTGATCCAAAGCCCCTTGATTTGTAGAACTTTATCTAGCCATGTACGTGGGTTGACGCTTTGTTCTGACTGGTTGCATCTTTGTTTCTATCGTCACTGAAAGAGATTGAGAAGGAAATGTACAGTGAAGCGCACACTGTCGTTTGTCTTTGACTTGCGAAAGTGACGGCGCCCGATAAAATACGGCAAACTCCATTTTCATGGCCGCCATTAGTACGGCAAAAGTTAAACTGCCATTATAGCCACCAGATGGCACTGAATTTTGGGAAGGGTCTATTCCCGCATGAATTGGCAAAAGACTGAAAATCGTTGCACTGCCCCTTTAAGTATTTATGTTTTACATTTTCTTAAGACAAGAAAGCATTACAGAAAGACAAAAAAAAAAAAAAAAAATTGACACCTGAGGTAGGATTTGTGAACATCAAGTACTTCTCTGACAAGCTTCCAAGGCAAATATTTACATGGGAATTAATGAGAAGAATTGACGAGATACCATGTTGTTCGTGCATGACTGCTAGCTTCCTACATGCAACTTAGGAAAGCTGTTGCTTTTGTATGCCAGGTGCATACACTCTGGACTCGGTTATCGTAAAGTAAGCAAATTCAAGAGCAGCACAGCGGGCACAAAAAAATGCAGCAGGGAAAAACGGCAAAGCAAGGCTTCCGCCAGCGTGCGTGGTATCAGCAAGAGAAAGTGGGAGGCGTATTTCACAGCAAGTGTGACCTTAACGTCCTTGCGGGCCATCGTCACAAGCCGAAGCATTGTTACGCAAACTACACTTTCGACAAGTGCATCGCCAAAAGAAGGTTTAACGAGTGTTACAGCTCTTGTTTTTGTTCGTTTCGATTTGACTGACAGAATTTCCGTTGCGTCGCCGCAGCGAAACGCCGGCTATCGCATGAACCATGCGAATTCGTTGCGTTCCTCGGATGTCAAGGCCAAACCGGCAAAAATCCTTTTATGCTCAACTTTTTTTTTTCTTTTTCTGTTTAGTTTATAACAAAAGATGGCAAGCGACCGGTGGGTGGTCACTGGTAAGACGGAAAACCGATCGCAGAGGCGGATCGGCAGATCTCGGCCCGCGGAACAAAACATCGGAAAATGTGCTCCTCCACAAAACCGAAAACAAAGAAACGGAAAAGGTCGGTTGTCCTTACTGTGTGGCCTTGGACATTCTCAAAGGATTCGATCACACAGGACAGGGGGTGCGTGTCGTCCAAGCCGATTTTGTTGGACCGTCTCTCTTCAAACATCGCCATAGCGGGCAGCTCTCATCGTAGCGGCCTGACCCCAGCCTTCAACCACCTGTGACAGCGGCCATAACGATCTCTAGACGTTCCCGATAAAAACAAAACATAAAAAAAGTAATCTGACAAATAGCAGACAACACCGACAGGGAAATTACGAGAGCAGCACGAGTTACCGAGACGACGGGCACAAATAAAATGCAAAACCATCAGAACAGCAAGAAAACTGTGGCGGCTGCAGTGGTGCCAGTGGGCGCTAGGAAGCGCTAGTAGGCAAAACAAAAAACACGTTTTGATGATGATAATACATAAAGTTACACATAATATAAAAATTATGCGTAATGCTATCATTTTTATTAGAAGCAAAGGTTTCTAATGTAAGCAAAGCGCCAACGTTGAAGAACTCTAGTCACTCTAGCATTGCGTAGAGTTCATCTAGAGTTAAAAACCAAATGTTGTCAGTGACGTCACGCTTCTCTTTCACCCTTTCACGCCTTCACATGCTGCGCTGCTGAAATACTTTCCCTCTCCCCTATCTCCCTTGGATTTGGGAAAGACGAGTAGCATCTCACGCTTTGCTGAGAGAAACTCCTCAGCATCCTCAGCTCTTCCGATAGCGACGTCAACTGCGTCAACTAGCGCCAATGTGCCACCTCGGCTTGTTTACACACGCCAAGCGATGCTTTCGCTTCAACTAACGATGGGCTCGCGAAAGCTTTGACGCGTTCAAGCACAACCTTGTGGACCATCGTCCGTGCTGCTCGGGGGAGCATTTTTCGCAGTGCGGCAAACCCATGATGGGTGAGTTGTTTCTTACGTTGAGACCTGAGCGCTGGAATCAACGCACGGTTATAAATTTCTAAGGAGACGAACGTGTTGACGTCCGTATTGCTGTTGTGTTTGCTTCCCAAGACCGGCTGATTTGATCCCGCGATACTCTGCCACTCTGCGTTCGTGTTGTTGTTGACAGTACCGCTTTCGCCACTTGCGATTTGATCGGAGTTTTTCTCTGTATTCTGAAACGTCATCCTGCCTTGACCTGTAGCAGCACTGAGTGACGTTTTATAACTGGCGGATACATGAGATATAATAGTAGTAATAAACAGCGCTTGTCTTCTGCAGATAGTATTGTGTAAGTGGAGGAAAAGGTGTCCAAGCAGCTTGAGTGGTTGAAGAACCACCCAGCGGAAGCTGCCGTGGCTCCTCACAAGTGCAGAACAGTGATGAAAATGCACTCTAGACTTAAGATAATTTATCATCATTTTCTCACAACGCATATAAACAGAACAGTGAACTGAGGGAAACACTGTCGAAGAGGTAGAATTTTGTATAATGCAAAGTAATTCCACCACAAAAGAAAATCATCAACCGAGTAATAAACAAGAGCAATAAATGCTTGTTTGGAAAGGAAATAATCACCAAACTCACATTTGACTCTGGTATTAGAATGGTTGGTTTTGATTGAACGCACACCAATGGATGCTGCTTTTCACTGGTCTTGCAAAAGATAACGAGCACATACTTGAAAAAGTAAAGCCTGAAAACATGAACAGAAGCTGCTTTGAATTTCATCATCTATCGATCATTAATTCTATATACTCGTTACAATGAATACTTAAAGGGCTGTTCCCACATTTGAATTTCGGTGCGATCAACTGGCCACGATCACTTGCGACTTACGACAAGCGAACACACTAGCATCATCTATCAAGTGTGCCCGGAACACGTCCAATGTCTATACAACTAGACAGAAGATTTTGTGGTACTTGCGAGATTGAATCTATGCACTATACCTGTGAAAAAGTGTTGTGCCAGGCTAGGTGGCGCAAGCTACCGCCCGTTATAAAAGAGCAGAGCCATTAGCATCAATCCATCCTTAATGGATGGATAAATTGGAGGGGCTCCAGAGCTACCGGTTAGATGGCGCCAGTGTATTTTTTTCGTCTTATGTAAAGCCCCTTGATGCTTTTGTGTTTGTCTTGCAAGTAGCTTGAGGCGCGCCAGTGCACTAGACTTTTGTCTTGTGTGGCCTTTGGAAGCAAATGCGGCGCAGCACTGAAACGAGCGACCCTTGGAAACAAATGGCGGCAGAGCACTCACTCGTGGTACGCCTGTTCGCGCAACGGTGGTTGTTGGTACTTGTGGGAAATGTGAAGCATGGAATTTTATCGGGGGGCTTTAGTTTGTGCATATGTGTGGCCCAGACTCGAAACTCGCAGCCGATGCGAAATAGCGGTTGCCCGCATATTACAATCCCTTATACGTGATCTTCGTACATGTGTCTTTTGGGGCACCACAAACACCGAAATGATTGTAAACACATGCACACAAAGCACTTTCCAAGTTCTTTGCTTTCTAGTCCTTTTGCTTCTATCCGCACTTGTTCATGTGATCTAACTCCCGTCACGCTTTCAGCCTCGGTTTTCCTCAACACTCTCACACCCAAGTTTTACGTGGCACTGACGGGGACTTCGTCTCTCATCTCGGGGCTCATATTGGTAAGTTACGCATTTCGGTAGCTCAGAAAAATAGTTCTCACACAGAGGGATCTTCTGTCTCGTATCTTGGGTCCTTCTTGCGTTTAGCAGTGTGAGGTACATTGGGGCTGAAAAACCAACATCCCCCTGTTCATGCCTTGCTTGTCAACTTAGCGGGGGCTCTAATTTACTATCGCGTCTGCTGCTCTTCTGGGAACAGTTCTTACAGTCTGTTGAAGGTTAAAAAAAAAACCGGCACAAGCTCCTCCCACCAAGCCCTCCACTCTCGCCATTTTAGAAGACCAATAGGCCCTTTTCGAAATGATGCATGGGTTATGTGCAGCCGCCATTAGTTGGTCATGCACTTTGAGCACGCATTGGACACAACCGCTTCGTCAGCATTCGGAGTATACTTGGATTAAAATGCATTCCACATGAGTTCTGCGTCAGTGCTTGGTGCGAACTTGGAACCAATCACGGGCTTCACGCCAGAAGCGATGAGACCAACTAATGGCAGCTGCACGTGTTCTATGCATCACTTCACAATTTCAGAAAGGGTCCATTGCTGGAGAGGGGGTGCTGGAGAGGAGGAAGCCACTAATCATGACAAGCAGAGAGCTTTGTGGGAGGGGCTTAATTGTCCCATCTTTCTCAATCCACTACAGACTGTAGCATCTGACACAACTAGTTCAAATTTTCAAGCTGGTCGTTCCTCCAACTTCCTGCGCAGATCTTCGAATGGTGGTACTTTCGCAAGTATGGGACATCCTTCATAGAGCAGGTGTCGTTGAACCACCTGTCGCCGTGGCTTGGGGGCGGGGCTGAGGAACCCGACAACCCCGCCCCCGAGAGCAGGGGCCCGCCCTCGGCACCCTCCACGACCACGACCGGAGAGTGCAAGGTGTGGCGCAACCCGCTGTCCCTCCTGCGGGGAGCTGAGTACGCCCGGTTTCTGGCTGCGACCCGCCGGGAGCCACTTACCTTCTACGACATGAACTTGTCCGCCCAGGACCACCAGACGCTGTTTGCGTGCGAGGCAGACGCGGGGCACCCCGACTGCGAGGGTATGCACCCTTCATTCGAGGTTACCTATAGCCGGTTTCGGCTGCGCGTACAAGTGTTGTCGAAGGCAGAAAGCTTATGGTTGAGGCGGAGCATCTGCCGGGTTTATAACTTCCTGCAACCATAATGAGCAGCGACTACCGGTACATGGAAAAGTACTGACAATCTTTGGAGAGACATTCACCTTCCTGTGTGCCAAAAACATGTCACTCCTAACCAATAGTCATACTTTGGCCCGTCGTTCACTGGAACTTGTTCACCGTTACGTGATTCTAATAATTGTTGTCATACCGCCAACGCCATGCAGTTGAGACGGTTTTTGTGTTTTTGCGTGTGTAGCTTAGGGGAACTTGCGAACTTCGCAGCACACATCCCTTTGTGAGTGCTTCGGCATAGGAGGGCTACTATAGACCTTTTCCGTGTAATCTCGTCCCCAGTCACCTAATAGGCGTATCCGGTATGGGCGACGAAAAAATAATAAAACGTTTCAACCTGTAACCAGTAAAAAAACAGAAGGGAGGCAAAACGAGAATGTATGACGGTTACGCTTATATCCCAAATGGCTTCTGTTGGCGTGGCGACGGCAAAACAATGTTTTCGCCCATACTGGAAGTGACGACAATTCAAGATGGCGGCGCCCTTGCGGAAAAGGTCTATAGGTAGTGTAGACCATCGACAGTATCTGTCCATTTTTGTTTTTTTTTCTTCGGTAAATTTCAATATGTCGCACTATTGCATTTCCCATTGCAATGAGTCAGTAGGTCACGTGGCAGATACATCGACACCAAAATGGAGGACCGGCATAAAATTGTTGCTCATATGAGGTCCTCCTCATATGTGGCAGACGGGCTATCCCGCATTTAATCTTTTTAACTTTATGAGCTGTTCATTAGTTGCCAGATGCGAGTATGCCTTTGGAGTCCATGTGGCACAAACTAACTAATATTGGAAATGTCGAAGACACTGAAATAAAAGCCCAAACTGTGACAAGGACTCTTCTTAATGAGCATGCAAACAACCAGACAGTTGGGTGGCACTTTCTAGATGTACACCACAAATAGATGAGGCCATGACCATCAGTTGTCAGCGGATGCTCACCAACTTTATGGTCACACTGGTTTTTGGGCTCTAGCAGTTTGGTTGGATTTTACATTTATCTTGAAAAATTACTAAAATTCTGGTACTAACACTTCTGTTTGAGACTATTAACATGGCAGCAGCATCTTATTCAACCTGGACGGCAGTCATGCAGATGGCCTGGCGAGAGCGAGATCCCAAGACACGCATCCAGCACGCACACGACGCCCTAGAGAAGAACCCCGAGTGAGTGAATGAAGCAGCAGTGGGACACAACGTTTTGTGGCAGGTCAACCTTAACGGTGCGCATGTCCATCCTCTCCACAGGAGCGTAACCGCCTACATTCTGCTCGCTGAAGAAGAGGCCCCCGGTGTGTTAGAGGTGAGCTTTGAGTTTTTCGGAGGTTCTTGTTCAGTTTCTGAACCTAGTTGCACGGTAGTTTTATTGGGTCCCGTGGAAAGTTAAAGTTAAAACAAGAAAATGGAATGGTTGGGAAAATAACAAGATTAAGTGATTTTGTACAGGCATTTACCATGCGTAAGCGGAAAATGGCCTACTTTCAACAAACAGCTGGTGTGGCGGGAACTTTTTACCTAGAGGACAACTCTTCTGCTGAATTTTATTGAATTTGGGGTTATTACTGCTTTTAGTGCCGTTAGCATTATGGTTGACACAATTGGGCTTTGCATTGTTGCATATGTCGCCGCTTGTAAGACAAGCTCATCAAGGGGCTTTAGTTGGGTCTGTTTGGTACTTGGACTTGTTCGGAGTCCTCATCACAGCTGGCACTTGCTGGCTTTACGACGAAAATGTTTACAGTTAAAACTTTTTATAAGTATTTTCCTACAAAACACACATATTAACAAGGATAAGTATCTTCATAGTCCCAATTACATTTCTTCAAGGGTAGAAGATCATTTGCTTAAAATAGAAGAAATTAGACGGAGAACTGAATGGTTTCAATACTCCTTTTTAACAAAGACCATTCATGAGTGGAATGCCCTTCCTGAACTTGTGGTGACAGAAACCTCAGATGCCAGCTTTTCTTCTCCTAATGGACCTATAAGACTCTCTGTGTAGTATTTTCTTAGAGTTATACTTGTATTGTGTTTTCTTTTAGGTTATTGCTTTGTACTGTGCTTGCTGATTTCAATCCTTTTTTTTTTTTTTTTGTAACAGTTCTTCGATATTCTTTTTTTCTTCTTCGTTTGCATATTTTTTTGTGTATCGTTGATTTCAAGCACTATGTGTGACTTGTGTGTAGCAAGTATGGTGCAGCCATCTTTTAATGTATTTAAACCCCCCTACTGTAATGCCCCTGGGTAATGTAGGTACTGTATAAGTAAATAAATAAATAAACACATGCATGGCACTCTCCAATGCCTTTTGCCCCGTGGCTACCTGCAGGCAGAAAAGCTCTTCCGGCAGGCACTCAAGTACGCCGAGACAAATCACCGCAAGAGTCAGCCACTTCAGCATCAGGGCACCTTTCACGAAGCTTTGCACCGTGAGCTCATATGGCCCTTCAGTGCGCCGCTTGTTCTCTATTTGCTCCAGCTTTGCTCAATGAAATTAAAAAAAAAAAAAAAATATTCTGAGTAGTTGAACTTGTGCAAAACTAGCTATGTAGCATTTGCTAGATAAGCATTAAGAAAGGTCCATCGTGGTTATTGCTTTGCTAAAGATGTGAATCTAAAAGATACGGGTGAATCATTCCAAAGATGCAATTTGAGGAACACATCTCCTTTTTCGTGCCTTTCCTGTCAGCTTAACAGGGTCTTAATTTAGTGTCAATTCAGCTCTGCCTAGAATAGTTCCTAACAATGAATCTTAAATGTTTGTGGTAGTCGGGGCTGGGCAGAGATACTCCAAAAAGTATTTGGCACTACAAATACTGACATACATGTGTTTTAAGGCCCAAATACAGATATTGAGATACATTTGACTTTTATGCAATGGGATATCCCTGAAATACTTCTGCAAAAATGGCAAACAAGTATTCTGGAATATGGATAGATACTTATAGAAATACATTTGTTCCTGAATGGTGCTACGTGGAGAGGGTGTAGTTCGTGACAAATATGAATGGTAACTTATGCTTGTGCTCCTCTTTTTGTGCCATATTATGCACTACCCCTTACCTCAAACTCTTTATTTACCATTAATGCCTCTAAAAAAAAACATGTCAGCCCCATTGAACCATATAGTTACAAAACAATGAAAGCTAGGGCTGGGTGTCGATTAAAAGTTTTAACCCAATTAATCGCTACCCATTAATCGATTTTGTTCATTTCCATACATAGTATTTTAGAAAAGACAAAATTACACTTTTTGCCTTTCATGATTATGTGATAAACGGCGCAGTATACAATTTCGATTATGAATAAGCCTCGACGTGCATTTGAGAGCAGTCAAAAAGACGCTTAGACTCAGATTATTACTTCAGCTGCATGAAGCGGAGGCTCGTTGAAATTCTCTAGCAAGAGCAAACTCCTCTGGTGGTTCTCAGTAGTCCCTGCTGCGCTAAACAGATGCTCGCATGACGTTGAAGTGGCCGGGGCACCTGGCACCTTTTGCTCTTGTTTGGACTTAGAAATCTTTCCCTACCAGCTTACTTTAGCTCAAAATTTCACTTAAAGTTTGCCCTTCATACAGGTGTACTCGTCTATGCCTGCACGGTAAAAGCATTTATTTAAAATTTTTTTTTTGGGGTTAGGTAGTCAAAATTTAATTGATTATCCGGTTAAAAAATTCAATCGTGATTAAAACATTAATTGATTAATCGGTAGGTTAATCAATCAATTGCCCAGCCCTAGTAAAGATTGCGTACCATGCTTGACAAAAGGCATCTGCCCAAAAGTAACCCTGTTTCACTGTGAGGGTACATCTCAAACTGTCATCTTATGTGCTTCTGAGTCACACATAGTATGGGAAATTGGACAACAGGGCCATACTTTTTCTCCACTAAACTCCTTTACAACGTTCGCTCTGTTAAATTGGAAAGAGTGGAGGGCTTTGTGGGAGGAGCTAGCTGATTTTGTTATTCTTGCAAGTCTTGTTCTATAAACCAGTTTTTTTAATTTTTTTAATGTTGGTGACTGAGATGGATCATATTATAGGGTGGGATGATATTATAAATTCCGAAGCAGCTTGCACCAGAAAGATGTTTTTATCCTTTAAATTTACCTTAAAAAGGGCAACAAATGTAACGAGACACCTAACTCGGGCAAAGTATAGCGATATGAGCAATACATTTTAAATTAATTTCACTATTGAGATACAAATACTTTTTTCTAATCTATCTCGATACAGATACTTGAAACTATCTCTAGGAAATTTGTATCGCGATACTGCCCAGGCCCTGGTGGTAGTATTGTTCAGCTGCATCTTCAGGCCGTTCTATGTTTCCCAGTTATTCTACAGTCTGTGGACCAGCAATTTGTGGGCAGCCGTAAGAATTGATCTCAACCCTGACGTTGAATTCCTGCAATTGGGTGCAGGGAGAGACTGCAATGTGCTGGTCTATGTTCGTCGGAGGCTAGCCATGTGCGCCCGAAAGTTGGGCAAGGTGCGCGAGGCTGTCAAGATGATGCGTGATGTGAGTACACTTCCGCTTTTGGATTCTAGTGGAGTGGTTTCTCTGAGGCATTTGTTTAGAAACTTAACCTACAACCAGGCAGTAAACAGTTGTGTTATTGTCTGTTGCTCGCGCTCAGGTTCACTCATGACCCCGATATGAGCGTCGTACAACAAAATAGCTGCTAGATGCACCGTGTACGAGCTTTCGTCTTTCCACTTAGCCTTGCAGGTCATCCAGGGTCTCGCCCTGTTCGCAAATGAATAACCTCATCATCATCATTGTCATCATCTGTCTGTCAGGACTATTTTCACAGCTGAAGCTGAGGCAACTAGTCTAGTGAGAAGGCACGAGTCTAAAGCAGGAGCTTGGGGCTAAAGAACGAAAAAGGGAAGGACAGGCAGCATAAAATAATTTGTTGCGAGCCTTGTGCTAGACTGAAGTGTTGATTACCCTTTTTTTTTTATTGTTTTCTTGGTGTTGGGGTCGCTATCGTGCATCCTTATAAAATAGTGTTCATCTCTTTTTTAAGTACATATCTATCGTATCAGTCAATACTTACCCACATTATGTTCAGGGTATTGTCTCGAACACGACAACTGCCCTTGAAGAAGACCCCTTTATTCATTGTAGAGTAACCGAATGTTCCCAGCAAATCGAACTGACCGAGCTTTGTTTTAGAAGTGCATGGTGGTACCGCATATATGGCTTCAAGATGGAGGCTGGGTGCAACTGAATGGAGGCCGGTAGAGCCCGCTCACAGTCGGAACACAGGCCGGCATTCTCCACGAGATTGAGTATGGGTGTAAATCGAGGGAGAGGGGGAGGTGAGAGCTTGCAGGGATGCCAGAGCACCGAGCTTTGGCTGGAATCATTAGGGGGTGGATGCAAGACTGCCTGCCTTTGTCTCTACTCATTGTTCGAACGCTTTCAAACACGAACGCCAGGTGCCAGACGCCGGCGTTCGAACCTGTTTGAAGGGTAGCTGGAGACAAAGGCTTTAAACCTACTGATCATTCCAACCAGAGCTATGTTTCAATGTCACCTCTTGCTCTCATCTAATCCTCTCCCCCATTGCCTACCCACATAGTCACTGACATGTTAAGAAATGCAGGGAGTGGCGAGTCCTGCATGAGCATCTCATTATCACTCCTCGGCCAATGAGATTGTGGTATTAGCTGATAAGAAGGCCAAAGAAGTAATCACGAAGCAAGAAGTGCAAAGATAGTAAACCAGACTCTGCATTTCTTAAGTTGTTAGTGACTGTAGTTAGAAACAGGCACACCCATCGACTTTCGACCGACCATAACTAATTATTCAATCATTCAAAGCTAGTCATTTTTCCGGCATTCTGAGGGCCAGCGTGATTGGTTAATTTCTTAACTTCCGGCGGTTCAATCAAAAGACAACTTTTCAGCGTGCATTCTACGCAGACATGGTTGCTAGTGCTCGAGCCTGAGGAGCACTGCTGTTTTTTTTTCTGCAGCTGATGAAAGAGTTCCCGAGCATGAACCTGTTCAATATCCACGAGAACCTCATAGAGGCCCTCCTGGAACTGCAGGCTTACGCCGACGTGCAGGCGGTACTGGCTAAGTATGACGGTGAGGATCGGGTTCGGTTGGGCATCATACTTTCATCGTAAGGGCAACATTGCTAGATGACATTCATGGCAGTGGCGTAGCCACTAACGAGGCTAAAGCACCCCCACAATGCAGCTGACCCCATAAATAATATATATACAGTCGAACCTCGATATAACGAACTTCAATGTAACGAAATCCCCGATTTAACGAAGTATTTTATTTTTCATAATTTCTTGCCCATAGACCCCATGTATTTTTAGTCTCTATATAACGAAGTCTATTTCGCTGCTATTTCAATATAACGAAGCGCCATTGCCATAGAAGGCAATAAATAAATAGACTCTAAAAAACAACTTTGCAAAAAAATTGTGGTTAAAAAAAAAAAATTATGCGCAAACGCGAGCGCTTGGTAGGTTACTTCACGGGGACAGGCCTTCCAACGTTCCTAGGCTGCCCGAGGATGCGGCGCCTGTAGCGCCGGCGAGGCATGCGGCAAAGCGGATTCCGCAGGGCTGGCCAGAAAATGCCGAGCAAAAAGTTAACACGGCATAACAGCATCACCACTGACATTCACTGATCATCATAGTCCACTGTACCGCGGGTAGCGCGGGGGCCAACTTCAGCGGGGGAGCGACGTGATGGCGCGACCGCACGGGCAGTGCCATCTAGGAGAAGACCGAGAAGACCGAGAAGACCGATTATCGTCTTGCGAGCGTGATGTAAAGCAAAGGCGCAAGCACACTGTGGGCGCAAGGGGGCAAGTAAACTGTGCGGTCAAGAGTGCTGTGTAGATTGGAAACATTGGCACCGCCTAAACTAAACAGCTTTATTTTTCAACCGGGCGGTTCACTCACGTGCTTGCTGCCATAAGGAAACGTAAAGTTCTTTCTTTGGATGAGAAAGCAAACGTTTTGGACGCCATCCTGAAGAAACTGTCGAGATCACGAGCACTCGGGAAGTGCTCGACGCAATGGACGTACTGAGGAGGTACACGGCGTCGCATGGGCAGCAAGATGCCGTGCAAGCGCTCTGGGCGCTCGAACGCCGTATTGACCGTATGACGCCGCTGCTACTGTCGGACAAGGCGCAAGCGAAACTCGCGGACTACTTTGCCCCTAAATAAATGTCATTTTCGGTGAGTTTTCATACCCGTAAAATGTTTCGGAAATTATTTTTGCATGCTAAAGCCAAATTTCGATTTAGCGAAATTTCAATGTAACGAAGTAAATTGCGAATTTTACCGACTTCGTTACATCAAGGTTTAACTGTATATATATGACCCCCCCTTAAGTCTTAACTGAACACAAAGCTAAGTCGAATTTGGTGGGAAGAACCTGAGAAGGAACCTTCTGGAAGCCTCAGAGTGTTAGCCAACATCTGCCATCTTTATACGTCAAGTATGGAGGTTGCTAGTAGATGAACTGGGGAATGCAGTGCAATAGTATTATATTTAGATAGCTGTCGAGTAGTAAGAACCATTAGCTCGTAATATGTCCTTATTTCATCAGTAGAAGCTGTTGAAATGTAAGACCCACTGGAGAGGCTCTGTTCACAGAAACCAGCGCTCCGTTCAGTGCTCAACGCACCACTGCACATTTGCCTTTAGGCAGAGTTCTGTTTTTGTGGGCACCAGTCTCGTCAAAAGGGCGCTGACAGACGTTCCTCTCTTTTTGCATTGTTAAAAACATTGTGCATTCATACCGTGTGGTGTAGCGATGCGACCTTTCTCTGGAAACCTGGGTTCAGGGCCTCTCTTCCAGTACTTATGTTGCGACAGACTGTAGTTACCAACAACCACCGCTCAGATTTCGTTCTAAGCTATCCCCACTGGCCGGCCCCTTTCACAAAGGATCCAGTGCATTTAGTTAGAAACTCGAGGACGTAGCCAAGCAGGAATGAGGGAGACAAATCAATGCCGCACTTCACAGAGCTCGCAAACGCTTCCCCACAGACATCAACTTGCCCAAGTCGGCGAGCATCTGCTACACGGCCGCACTGCTCAAGGCGCGCGGCGTCGGGGATAAGTTCTCGGCAGAGGCGGCGGCCCGGCGGGGCCTGAGCGGGCCCGAGCTAGCGGCGGTGGAGGCGGTCCACCGGGCGGTGGAGTTCAACCCCCACGTGCCCAAATACCTGCTGGAGGCCAAAAGCCTGATCCTGCCCCCCGAGCACTTGCTCAAGCGGGGCGACTCGGAGGCCCTGGCGTACGCCTTCTTCCACCTGCGCCACTGGAAGCGGGTCGAGGGTGCCCTGCACCTGCTCCACTGGTCGTGGGAGGGCACCTTCCGGGCGCTACCCTACCCGCTCGAGCGAGGCCAGCTTTTCTACCCGTACCCCGGGTGCACCGAGGCCACGGACCGGGAGCTGCTGCCCCCATTCCACGAGGTGTCTGTGTACCCCAAGAAGGAGCTGCCCTTCTTCATCCTGTTCACGGCAGGGTTGTGCTCCTTAACGGCCCTGCTGGCCCTGCTCACCCACCAGTACCCGGAGCCCGTGGGGCTGGCCGCCCGCACTCTCCTCGCCTGGCTGGCCCTGCCCCTAGGCTACCTGCTGGACAAGCTCGAGGCACTGCTGCCTTCCAGCCTGCTGCAGCAGCTCTCCCGGATCTGAGCCCTCTCTTTCCTTCTTGGGAGCTTCCCTGAGCCCCCCTTAAAGGGATCTGGGGAGTATCTCCTTTCCCTTTTGGGGCTCTGGGGAAGAGGGCTTCCCTGGACCTCCTTTTCCCTTTGAGGAGCCTCTCTTTCCCTTTTGGGTATCTAGGAAAGAGATGGGGAAAGGCTTCCTGACTTGCATATTGAGAGCTCAATAAATGTGTGCTCTGAAAGACACCCTTTGTTGCAATGGTGGAGTGGAATACGTCTGTGGCTTTGGTGCATGGCCTGTGGGGAGTGTTCACCGGTGCCACAACTGTGTCGCCTGCTGTCGAGTGCATTACAGCTGGGAGTTTTTGCCCAGTTCATTTCACACCATTGAAGTAGTTCTTGTCAGGCAATAAGTTGCTCGTTCCAGTGACCATGTTGATTGCCTTGTGACAATCTGCTGTCCTAGTACACTCCTATGGAGAGCTGTTGCATGCTTCATTTTGTTGTTCTAGCTGGCTCATAGGTGCCGTAGCCATGTTACATTGAAATGGGTTGTACGCCAAAGGGGGAAGGAACGATGTGCGCTCTATCACCCTGTTTGTGTAAGCTCATGTGCATTGCTTTGTGCTCATAGTGGTGCAGTACCCCTATTTTACTGCTTTTTATGAGATCATACTTTTTAATCATTTATGTAGGTTGTTAACAAAAATAAGATACTGTAAACGACTAAATTTTTGCGAGGACCTAATTTTCGCGGATCGCCTACAATTCGCGAAAAATATGTCCCGTGAACAATTCGCGCAATATGTGAACGCTACAGAAGCTACACTCGATTCGCGAAAATTAAAACCCGCGAATAATTAAAAATTTTCAGCTTTGGAACGATTCGCAAAAATTAAGTCGTTTACAGTAATTTCTTCCCCCGAGAAACTAAATGCGGTAAATTCAAAATTTATAGATTGGTTTTTTTGACTCGCTGAAAACCATGATATTACAAGAAGTCTCCATACTATGTTGCACCCATTTTAGCTTAACCATTCCTTCTCGAGTTAGGTTTCTAGCTATATAAAACATTTGAGGCACAAAACATTTCTTTACACATGCTACCCATTGCAGTAAACAATTTTTATACCGAACTTAAGAGATTGATATTTACAAATAAATAGTTGCTCTGTAGCTCTTGCTTTCTGTGTACACAGAACTAAACATAAAGCAGATTATTTCCAGAACTTTAAGCTTTTCTCTGACTAAAATCAGTGAATACTGATGTCGCTGGTCTGCCGCTGGCGTGGCCTAAAAAGAGAGGAGAAGCAGTGTAACCTATTTTGTCATTGACAATATTTTTCATCAAGACACGCTCCAGCACAAGTATGGTGCCTGGAACGCGTCTCCGACTGGTGTGCTTACCGCGCCCAAAACAGAGGTCCCTTGATTTCCGCCTGATGACGTCATAAAAGTGTCATGCTGTCGCCGGTCGTGACCCTGGCGGCGTCCCAGCAGTTATGGTGTATGTAGCAGACGCCTGTTCTGCTGCAGGTCGCTCTTCACTTCGCCAGTCCACGAAAGCTACAGCAGCAAACAGTTGGGACGCCTGGGACGCCGTGACGACAGCGACACTCGCGTTCGCTCGTGCTTTTTGCCAGCATTTCTGCGGCCAACCGCAAGGATCGCGACAGGCTACAGCATGACACTCCGGCTTCTGTGACGTCATTTGTTGCCACTTCGGGACCACTTTTGATGTATGATCAGCATAGGTAAACACACCAGTCGAAGACGCGATCCAGGCACCATAGCAGAAGTCCACAGACGTTTGTAGGCTCCCGAGGTCCGCGATCAGCTGGTGCTGATTCGGCTAACTTGTGGGTGTCGAGACGATCTCGACGATCGGCCATAATCTCGCTCGCTCTCCAGGAAGCCGCACAATCATTCCAGCCAACGGTTTACTCCCACTCACTTTCGGAAGCGGGTCGTCCGTCCCTCATCTTGCTTGTTTTTTTTTTTTGTTTTTTTTTACCTTGTACCTGGCGTCCGAGAGACTCCGCGCCCTGACCGCCTCCCCTTTTTGATTTCCGCTCCCCCCCCCCCCCCCCCCCTTTCTTTTTTTTTTTTTTTCTTGCTTTGCTCCCGCCGGCCCTCGGGAGTGGTTTCCCGGTTGTTGAACCCAGAGCCGTAACCAGGGGGGGGGGGGGGGTTAGGGGGTTCTGACCCCCCCCCCCCCCCCCCCCCCCGAAATTTTTTTCTGGGTACGGCCCTCCCACGTAGCATCCAATGTCGTGCGAACATTCCCTGGGTGTTCTGAATGTTGAAGGAACGTTAAACACCATTCGGAACGTTCTAGGAACGTTCGTATGCGAACATTCCTTACAAGGTAAGCTGCTCAACATTCTAAAAACGTTTGTTGGCGAACATTCGTATGTGCAATGTTCTCGGAACGTTCCCCTTTGAACATTCATATGTGCAACATTCTTAGAACGTTCGCTTCCAAACATTCCTAGGATTTTCGCAGGTGAAGCCAACTTTACGGAGCTTTCAAGCAACCTGTGTTTCGAAACACCATCCACTATATGCCACCTTGTGCCAAAAATATGCAAATTAAGTGGAGGTTTTGCAAACTTAGCATAAGGGATCAGTTTTATCTTGTACGAGTGTACCGAGGAATGTGAGATAAGGTGTAGGAGAAAAGCAATGGTCTTCAAAATTTGATAATGAGTTTTGCACTCACTGCGTATGTAGAGGGGCAGTTTTGAATAGACCCGATTTTTAGCATCTCGGATTCAAATTCAATACCTTGAAGAAGGTATGTCCTGCTTGAGTGTGGGATGCCGTAGGTATCTGTTCTTATGCTCCGAGTGAGTTTTGATAAGTAGGAGTAAACTGCCGTTATAGTACAGGCTGTGGCTAAAGCGCTGGTAAAGCGGCTAGGTTGTGCTAGGCCTAGAAAAAATATATTTCGATTAAAAAATATTGTTCGCTCTTTGAGATTTATTATATCAATATATGTAGTACGGCTCAGTGGGGCTGTAACGTAAGTAAGCTATAATTGCGGAATCTTTGGAAACGTTCCTCAGAGAATGTTGCAGACGTTCTATGGATGTTTTTGGAACGTTCTTAAAACCTTGTTAGAATGGTGATTAAATGTTCTGTCGTGCTCAGAATGTTCTCAAAATATCAACTAGAAAACATTCCCCGAATGTAGCGATAAGTGCCTGCGCCACATTCTGACAACGTCGATAGAATGTTCTTACGTAAATTAGAAGTTCTTTGGATGTATTGAGAACGTTCTTAGAACTTTGTTAGGATGTTTCAATGTTGATTGAATGACCTGGTAATGTACTATGTCGTTCTCAGAACGGTCTAAGAATATCCCTTTGAAGACATTCCCCGAATGTAGCGATAAGTGCCTGCGCCACATTCTGACAACGTTGATAGAATGTTCTTACGTAAATCTTCAACATTCCAAGAATGTTGTCTATGTTATTTTGAACATTCCCGGAATGTTCTCAGAACGTTTTCGTGTTACGTGGGCTGGTCGGTGCACTGGCAGCCAGCCGATTTTAATCTCCACCTCTGCGCACGCGCAGTGGCGCCGGTCGGCTACCGGGTACAAAACCGGGACCGGTTCTCCGGTTTGCTGTAACTCTCCATTATATGCCACCGATGCACATGATTCATAGGCGAAAATGAGACAATAGACACTTTCAAAATGGCCGCCGTTGTCCCCGAAACCCCCCCCCCCCCCCCCCCCCCCCCAAATTTTTTTCTGGGTACGGCCCTGGTCGAACCCTCTCGCCGACCAGGCAACCTTCGCCACATCCAGCAGGGACCAGGGACGCTCTCACCGAAGTGCAGTGCGAGGATGTTGCCGTGCTCGACGCCCGGTGACGAAGCATGGCGTGGAGCCCTCCTTGGCCGAGTTCCTTCGCAAGACTAGTGTTTTGGCGACTGCATATCTTATCATCTTGACTAGGACGTCGACGACAGTGGCGTAGCCAGGAATTTTTTGCAGGGGGGTGCTGAGGTGGTTGGGATGCCCATGCCTTGGGGTGCAGAGGGGGAAGGTGGGGGTCGGCGGCTGGATTTCGAGGGGGGGGGGGGGGGGGGGGGGAGCCGAAGCCTCGTACGCACCCCCCTGGCTACGCCAGTGCTCGACGATGGGCCATGAAACGAATTTTGGGCTGGGAGAAATGAATAGACCGGTCTCTCCAGGCAGTTTGACTACGCCACCACCGCCGCAATGCATTGAGGGAACCTTATTCTTTATGCACGTGTGGCAACCTCGATGGAGCTCTGCACGTGGGGAGCACGAGGCAGCACGAGCCCTTTCGTGCACTACCGTTCGCCTCCTGTGTACTAAAATTATGGCCGCGTTCAGTGGGCCCTGATTCTCGGTACGAAAATTTGAAAACGGCGGACTATTTCGTACCTATTTCCTACTCTTTCCCTTCGAAGGCTCTGCCTTTTCACTGCGATACATCCGCATACCCAAAGCGCGTCACACGTGACGCGACACGACACCGGACCTCACTTGTTTCCTTCACCCCATAGCTGATAGTGCGGTGAAAGCTACGAGCTTGTTGGACCACTCGGCCACCTCACCTCCATCACCTGACCTCATTCTCTGCGCGAGGGAGCGTAATCACGTGGCTTCATGTGCGCTTTGCTAGGGTGGTGCCACCCTTTGTCAGGGCCGGCCTTTGGGGTGGGCGACCTGTGCAGGCGCACAGGGCGCCATTCATAGAGGGGCGCCGAAAGGGCCGCCGACTGAAAATAATATGTGTAAAAAACTTTAGATCCGCAGGTCTTTCTTTTTTTTTTTTGGCGTGTGAGCGATCAGCGATAACTCCGGACTCGCCATGCCGATTAGTCTTGCCATCTCGAAATTCAGAAACCCACCGCAAGAATCCCAAAAACCGCTAAATTTATAATGTTGCACAAGAATGACTTTTAACACATTTTATTTTTTTTTATTATTATTTTAGAATACGCATACATATAGAAAATATTGTAAAAGGTGCTCTTCTTTTACTTGTTTGACTAAAAACTGGAGGCAACAGGTGGTATTAAAAAAAAGATGTCAGCGGGAAAACTGCGGGAAAACTGCGAAACTGGCAACACTGATGCCGATCTCTTTCATTACTGTTTTCAGTTGGTGAAAGACTGACCATTTCATTTGTCAAGATAAGACATTGCATTATTGTACTTGCCTTATATTGGCAGGGAGATCCTGAAGTGCATTTGTTCCAATT